AGCTGCAGTTCCTGCACGACGCCGTGCAGAGCCGCGACGACCTGCTGTACCGCGAGATGACGCGCCAGCTGCAGCCGCTGAGCCCCGGCGGCGACGAGGGCGCGCAGCTGCTGGCCGTGGAGATGCAGGCGGGGGCCGAGCGCTCGCAGAGCCACATCGACGCCGAGGCGGCGCGCCGCATCCACGAGGCGCTCTTCTGCCTGCACGACGAGCGCGACTGCCTGTACGAGTACGTGCCCGACAACCTGGTGTTCATGCGGCGCATCGTCAACACCGTGCCCATCACCCTGCGCCTCCTGCAGCAGCAGCAGCGGCAGGACCTCGTGGGCCCCACCCCGCGCCAGGCCGTGGCCTGGGTGGTGCTCGCCAACCAGTGGCCCTGCCGCCTGAGCTGGGCGCTGCAGTGCCTGGAGGACCGGCAGCAGGCCGGGGGCGCGCCCGAGGCCCGCGCGCGCCTCTGGGACGTGTTCTACGACAACAGCCGGGAGCTGCACTCGCTGACCAAGGAGCTGCACAACGTGCTGGACCTGGACGGCGACCCCGAGCTCTTCCAGCGCTTCCTGAGCGCCGACTTCCCCTTCACCGTGGCCGAGGCGCAGAACCTGCTGCGCTGCACCGTCAACCTGGACCACTCCATCCGCCGCCGCATGGGCCTTCTGCGGGCGGTGCGAGCGCTCAAGCCGCCCAGCCCGCCCAAGTCGCCGGCCGGCGGCGACGCCCCCCACGCTGCGAACGGGGCCAACCACCCCCCTTCTCCGGCGGCCTGCACCGCCAACCACGACCCCCGGGCTGCCCGCGCTGCCGCCAGAGCCAACCAGGCCGGCGAGGACACGCACCCCCGCATGACGCAAAGGAACAAGCCCAGACCCGTGGCTTGAGCGTCCTGCGCTGCAGGGAACCCAGCCTTCACTCAGGGGCGGTGCCTTGAATGGAGGACTCTGGGGCACAAGGGCAACAGCGCCCCTCTGCCCGGACACGTGTAGGGACCCAGGGTCCGTGCTGGGAATGAGGCCTGTGGTGGCCACATTCCCCACGCGGATGAGCCAGGGAGAGTAGCTGACGGCAGTGCCAGTATCCCAGAGCGCAGGAGGACCACTGAAGACTCAGTTCAAGTGCAATAAATGAAGGCGCAAAAGCCCTTGATTTGTCTTTAGGCCCTGTCTCCCTCACTCAGCAAGAACTAGGGACCAGCCTGCCCTGTTCTGCCAAGCCCGTTTCCCCCAGGGCGTCAGCCGCATGGCTGGCATCCCGGGGGCAGGAGGGGCTGAGGGGGTCGCGGGCGAGACCCAGGCGGGGAGATGAAGGATGATGTGCCACGGTGACTGATGGAGAACACCCAGGCCTCGGGGATCCGGGTCCTAGTCCCCAGCCCCAAGCCTGCACCTCGGTGGGCAGGGCAGTGTCTGAGGTGACCTCAGGGGGCTGCTCCACTTGCAGTGTGGCTCCGGCCCCCGCAGTTCATTAGGTATCGCTGGCAGCTCAGCCTCCCCGGACAAATAACTGTCCATGAGGTCAGGGAAGAGGAGCGAAGCTGGGGCGTGTGTAGGACAGAGAGCCGGAGCCGGGTCAAGAGGAGGGTTATCTCAGGGCTGGACTCTGCCTGGCCGGCACGTTCCCCTCCTGCCAGTGGGAGACGTAGGATGGCGCGTTTCCTTCTCCTCATTGGTCACATAGCCAGCGCCCAGTCCGGGGTCGGGAGGATGGACCACAGGTGTGACTTCTAAGCCGGGGCCCTGAGCAGACAGTGCCAGGAGGAGCCTAGAAGTTTCAAAGCACCACCCCCAGGGCATGCGGCCTGGTGCGGGTACTGATGCTGTTCCTTATCTCCAAGGCTGGGGACGACACCCCAGTGCCCCAGCCAATGACTGTGCCAAAGCGGACGTAGGGCAGAGCCAGCCTGTGCCTCCACAGGCGATGCCGGACTTTGGTGCAGTCCTGGCCTGGATCACCCTGGCCCGCTGGGAGGTTTTCCAATGGCAGGGGGAGCCAGCCCCGAAGGCCTCTGGAGAGAAACACGGGGCCTGTGACACCATTAGGTCCGTGTCGCTGTGACTTGATATTGAGCAGAGCCACTCTATGTCCCTTCCCTTTCTTAAAAATTTTTTTGTAAAAATTGATTTTAGAGAGAGGAAGGGGAAGGGAGAAGAGAGAACCATTAATGAGAGAAACATCAATCAGGTACCTTCTGCAACAGCCAGCAACCTGGGCATGTGCCTTGACCCGGAATTGAATTGGTGACCTCTCAGTGCCTGGGACAAAGCCACACTGGTCAGGGCATCCGACCCTTCCATCTCCCTTAAGCCAATATGATTGGGCTTCTATTTCTTCCCGCCTAGGGCAGTGGTCGGCAAACTCATTAGTCAACAGAGCCAAATATCAACAGTACAATAATTGAAATTTATTTTTTTAATATGTATATTTTATTGATTTTCCACAGAGAAGAAGGGAGAAGGATAGAGAGCTAGAAATGTCAACGAGAAACATCGACCAGTTGCCTCCTGCATACCTCCCATCAGGGATGTGCCTGCAACCAATGTACATGCCCTTTGCCAGAATCGAACCTGGGACCTTTTAGTCAGCAGACCTATGCTCTACCACTGAGCCAAACCAGTTTTGGCTGAAATTTCTTTGGAGAGCCAATTTTTTAAAAATATATTTTATTGATTTTGTACAGAGAGAAAGGGAGATAGTTAGAAACATCGATGAGAGTCATCGATCAGCTGCCTCTTGCACACCCCCCAATGGGGATATGCCCGCAACCAAGGTACATGCCCTTGACCGGAATCGAACCCGGGACCTTTCAGTCCACAAGCCAACGCTCTATCCATTGAGCCAAACGGGTCCCGGCTGGAGAGCCAAATTTTTTAAACTTAAACTTCTCCCAACGCCACTTCTTCAAAACAGACTCGCCCAGGCTGTGGTATTTTGTGGAAGAGCCACACTCAAGGAGCCAAAGAGCCATATGTGGGCTCTTTGGCCAGACCTAGGGTCCCGGCAGCGAACAGACTGGGATCAGGAGTGAGGCGCTGCAGGAGGCAGGACGAGGCTTGGCTGGGAGTGGGACTGAGGACCTGTTGTGTGGTTCCGGGCAGTGGCCACACTGGTACCTGTTTATCTTAGACGCTGACCATGGGCCTGCCCAAGCTGGAGTTTGGGAGACGATAGGATAGGATGGTGGGTGAGCCAGGGACGGCCCGCTGTCGGCCAGGATCCGCGCCCCTTTACAGTGCGGGGCTTTTGCTGCAGCTTGCTCCCAGGCGAGGCCAGGGGCTAGTTCTCAGAACACCAGGAGTGGAAGTGATGTGTGTCCCTTCCCTGCTGTGGCAACAAGAGGCCGCAGTTTGCCTTCATCCCCCCCCCCTCCCGCTGGAGCAGGAACCCTGAGGCCCGGGGGGAGCAGAGCCACGGAGAGGGCCTGGGTCCACACTGTCACTTTGTGAAGAGCTGCCTCCGTCCTCAAACACTGGGTCAGGGCACTGGTACCTTTAAGACTGGATGGTGTCTAGCCAGCATGAGACTCCTGCCTTCACGCGCAATGGCGATGCTGGGGTGCCCCAGGACTCCAAAGCCGGGAAACCAGGAGCCCCGAGGAGCTGGTCTGCTAGTCTCCTGGGGCGTGTCACCAAGCCCACCCACTGGGTGCTCAGGACAGAAGCTCATTCTCTCCCAGTTGAGGCCTGAAGTGCGAAATCAAGGGGCCAGCAGAGCCAGGGCAGGGGCCCCTCCTGGCCTCTCCCAGCTCCGAGCACTTCATGGGCGACCTGAGGTCCCCCAGGCTGTGGCCGCCATCCTCCGGGCCTCCATCTCCACACCCTCTTCCTGCGGGCACATCTGGTCCCAATTTCCCCTTACGCGTCCCGGCACTTTGGATCAGGGCCTTACCTGTGACCTCATTTTCAACGATTGCCTCTGTCTCCAAAAGTCCCGCTCTGAGCGCCTAAGGGTTAGGACCTCCCATGTTTTTGTGTGGAGGGAGGCTGGGACGGCTGGAAAGACCGAGTTCCTCACTCTGAGCTGACTTAGCGGAAGCAAAGAGCAGGGACAAGGCCGTGGGCGCCCCTCACAGGCATCACCTGAGACAGGTGAGCGGAGCCCCCTAACCCCCACTGCAGCCCAGCCTGTTGGTCACCAGCCTGGGAGTGGAGAGAGGTCAGAGGTCACAAAGGGGATGGAAGAGCACCCACCAGGCTGCTGAGGGCTGAAAGCTCCCGTGGGAGTTGGTTCCTGAGCAACAGCTAGAACTGACCCCAGTCCACTGCACTGGGGTGTGGGTGTGTGTGTGTGTGCACTGACAGACCCAACCTGTGGGCCCTCAGCCTCTTGGGGCAAACGGCACACGCCCGTCTCGCCGAGGGGGCCGAGGCACCGCACACCCAGCACAGGGGCCCAGCGGGAGGCCGATGCTGCCCGCAGCTCAGAACCAGGGCCCGTGCAGGTCTCTCCCCAGCTGTCCGTGGGCACACACCGCTGCCCACGGCCGAAAAGACAGACAGCAGCCCCCGGGGAGAGGCCCGGCCTGGGCTCCCAGCCGGAGACACTGGGATTCTGTGGTTTCCCACCGCCTCCACCCACCACCGTCAGCATCCCAGGCGGGGAGGAAAGGGGCAGGTGCAAAGGTCTCCCCCCGAGTGCGCCTCTCGTTTTCTGAAGGTGGAGTTCAGATTTCCCGGATGGCCTCCCAGCCCCGGGCGCCCCTCACCGCGCCCGGCCGCGGGAGCAGGCTGCTCTGGCCTGTGCGCCACCCCCCCCCCCCCCCCCCGCGAGGGCCAGCACAGACAGCTGGTGACGGAGCACATCACCCCGATCCCTGGGCCTAGAGCTGGAGGATACTTGGGGTTTTCCCTCTGAAGAAAGGCCAGCAGAGCGGCCTGGCCGTGAGGGCGGCTGGACAGAGTAGACACCGCGCAGGGCACTCAGCCCGCGGGAGCTCCGGACGGAGCCGTCTGCCCCGCCCGCCCCCCGCGTCCACTCCCGCCGGGACGAGCGCGCAGACAGGCACGAGGTGGACCCCGCTCTGGTTTATTAGAAAAGGTGTGGACAGAGGTGCACCGACAGGAGGGCCCCGCCCCCTGCCCTTCCGCCCGCTCCCGGTTGTAGTGCCTCTTCGGGCGCCGCTTCCAGCGCCCTGGCCCGCAGCTCCCTGATAGGTTATTGCACTTCAGAAGAAAGCTCTGATCCTCTGCGCCCGTCCCCACCCGCCCGGCCGCACCGCCCGGGGCTGCTCTGCCAAGTCCACCACCACCAGCACGCTCACCGTCGCACCACGCCCGCCCGCCCGCCCGCCCGCCCGTGCCCGGTGCCACGGGGGGGGCGGGGCATCCCACCGCCGCCCAGGCCTCAGGCCCCCCGGCCCTTCCAGGAAAGCCGCGGCTTTGGGGCTGGTGACCTCGGAGACCCCTCCTCTGGCCCAGAGGCTGAGGGCTGGGCGCCAACAGGAGTGCTCAAGTCAGGACGGAGAGGGCCACCCCGTAGCTCCTGCACCCGTGTAGTGTTCTGTGGGGGGTAGGGGTCCCCAGAAAGGCGCCCCCACCCCTGGCGTCCGGGCCTCAGGAAGGCTGGGGTGAGGGGGAGCAGGTTCTCATGGCTCTGGCCTCAGCTCACAGAAGACCGGCTGGAAAAAGGAACTGGGGAGAGATCGGGGCCCGTCAGAGCCAGGGCCTCCCACACTGGCTCCCAGGCCCCTGGCCCTCGTCTCACCTAAAGTGTCACAGTGTCTCCTGCCCCGACTCCTGACTGGCTTCCAGAAGCAGCTCCTCGAGCTCCTTCTCGTTCTTGGAGCAGCTCAGTTCTGGCGGGGAGAACGGGCGGCCTCGTCAGGCGGGTGGGGGATGGCAGCCTGACCCACCAGCCCTGCCCAGGCCAGACCCTCGGGGCAGCCCAAGCCAGGGCCCCGAGATCAGATCCAGGGAGAGCCCCGGGCCTGGGGAGCGAGGTGGGGCCGTCCCTCCCGGGGCCGTTTCAGGGCTGAGGCCCCCTAGCGGGCAGGGGGCACACAGCACGCGGGCCCCGGGCTGCCTGCCCCTGAGCCCTCTCACCGTGTTCCAGGCCGCAGCTGCCCGCCTTGGCCTCGGGCCCCGGGGGCGGCTCCGGGGGCAGTGCGAGGGCAAACTCGGGCTTCAGGCCGTTGGGCAGGGGTGGCCCTGCCTGCAGCGGCTCTGGGTGAGGCTCCGGCTCCGATGGCCCCGGGTCCCGAGTGCTGACGGCCTCAGCTGGTGGCAGGGCAGGTGAGGGGGGCGGGGAAGGCAGGGCAGGTGGGGAGGGGGGACGAGGAGAGGGCGGCACAGGGGGCTCTGCTCTCTCCGGGGGGCTCTCCACGCGAGTCACCACGAACACTTTGTGGCCTCGGCCTGGGCTGGACACGGAGATGGAGATGCGCTGCTCGGTGGGGGAGGAAGGGCTGCCTGGGGGGCTCCTGTCCCCAGGGCCCAGGGAGTCCGTGGGGGGCAGTGGGGTGGGGCAAGGGGCTGCAGCCCTCTCCCCATCCTCCTCCTCCCCCTCGGAGTCTGAGTCTGAGTCCGAGTCCAGGCCGGGCCCGGGGGCCGGGTCCCCGTTCTCCTGCGCCTGGGCGTCAGGCTCGTCGCCGGGCTCCGCGTCCCCGGGCTCCTCGTCAGGCTGGGGCTCGGTGACGGTGATCTCGGGCATGGAGGCCGACAGCTGCAGCCGCTGCTCCTTCTCCTCCCGCTCCCGCGCCTGCACGAAGTTGCGCTTGCAGCCATTCTGGATCTCGGCGAGCAGCGCCTTCTGCGTCTCGATGAAGCTCTTCACCTGCGGGCAGAGCAGGCCTGGCTAGGGCTCGGGGTGGGGGGGGGCTGTCCCTGCAGCGTGTCCTGTGGTCACTCCGGCCAAGCCCGCCCTCACCCGCCACAGCCAGGCCCAGAGGAGGCCCGCTCACCGCCTCCTTCTTGGGCTCTCGGTCGAGGTCCAGGCGCAGCAGGGAGTGGTTCACCTTGAGGGCCAAGGACAGTGCCATGAGCCCGCCCGTCTTGATCTCGTTCTCCCGAAGGTCCAGTCTCAGGAGGCGGGGGCTCTCGGCGATGAACTCCGCCACCGCCACCGCGCCTGGGAGGGGGACCGCAGGGCTGGCCATGGGCCCACGCCCGGCCGGCCGCCCACCGCCCGCAGCCCGGCCCGCCGCCCCGCGCCCTACCCTCGCAGGTGAGCTTGGTGGAGGCCAGGCCGAGGCGCAGCACGCTGCGGTTGCCGATGAGGCCGTTCTTGAGGTTGCGCACGCCCTCGTTCCCGATGGGGTTGTGGCCCAGGTTCAGCGTCTCCAGGCTCTGTGTGTGCGGCTGCGGGGTGCGGACAGACGGAGAGGAGGCCCTCAGGCCAGCGGGAAAGAGGCTGCCCGCTCCCCCCTCAGCAGTGCGGCCAGCACATTCCTGCGGAGGCCGGGAAGCCCCCTGCGCCTCTGCCTGCCCGCTCCCGCGCAGTGAGCGTTCCTCACCGGGTGACCTCTGTACCGGGGCCTGCTTTAAACTCGGTAACGGTGAGGTTTGAAGGCTTCCAGAGACATTAACAAACCTTTCACCTTGTGCAGAGCTCTGTGATGGGCTATCGTGCTGGCACCGCGAGGGGGGCTGAGGAGCGGGAATGAGCCCACAGACACGCTGACAGTGCTGGGCGGGGCGGGGAGGGCACCCTGGGGACTCACCAGCGTCATGCCCAGGAAAGCCATGCCCGTGTGTGTGAGCTGGTTGTTCCACAGCACCAGGGTCACCAGTCCCTTCCTCTGCTCCTTGAGGCCCTCGCAGATGTAGGCCAGACCTGGCGGAGGCCCCGGGTGAGTGCGGTCGGTGGTGCGGGCTCCACCCGCCCCCGGGTCTGCTCGGCCTGCCACCTCCTGCTGCGACACCCCTGCCAGGGCAGGCACACCCCCAGCTCCGACCCCTGGGCCAGGAACACGCCTCCCTATCTCCTGAGCTCTGCTCGAATACCCCTCCCGCAGCCTCTGGCCAGCCGCAGAGCCCACACCACACTTCCTTCTTCCAGAGCCGTCTCCCATCGGACACTCAGCTCCCCACCCATCCACCGGGGCTGTGCTTCCCGAGGGCAGAGGCCTCTGGGCTGGGAGCCAGCCAGGCGCCAGGCCTGGTCCGGGTAGGTGGTCAGTGAATGGGTCTGCGCCTGGCTGCCCTGGGGGAAGGCACTGGCCTCTGTCCCACTCTGCCCGCCCCTCCCCTTTCCTCACCCTGAGGCCAGGGACCCTGCCCAACAGCGAACCTGACGCAGCCCCCCCCAGGGGACTGAATTCCTCTCGCAGACACCTCTTCTTCCTTCCCCTCCACGTCCTGCTCACCACAGCTCTGGCCTCGAACCAGCTGCCCTCTGCCGGGACCCTCCCAGCGTGCACACCAGCGGGCTGTGCTCTCAGCCCCCAGGGCCACCTAGAGGTCCCCTCCCTGCGACTGGAAGAGCCCGCCTGACCTTTCCTCCCAACAACCTCGATTCCTTTCCTTTGGGGCACTTTCCCCAGATGGTAATTATCTTCACTGTCTGTTCAGTGCCTCTCGAGCTGCCCCTGCCTCCGGGGGTAGCCCCCGCCCAGTCTGACGCTCACTGCCTGCGGTGGTCTGGGTTCACTGTGACCTCTGACCCCAGGAGAGCAGAGCTGGCTGCCCCGCAGCACGGAGCGCCTGCGGGGCAGTGGGTGCGGGCGGGGCCGCTCACACACCTGAGTCCAGCACGTGGTTGTTGCGGAGGTCCAGGATCTGCAGGGAGCAGTTGAACTTGAGCAGGTTGCCCAGCTGGGCGGAGTCCTGCAGGCCGTTGAGCTTGTTGTCGGCCAGGTACAGCTCGCGGAGGTTCATGTTCATCTTCAGGGCTGTGGCTGGGGGAGAGGAGGGCGGTGACTGGCCGGGCCCAGGGACCCGGCCAACCGCCCCAGCCGCCGAGTGGGCCGCACTCCCCGCCCGGCCCCGGGCCCGGCTCACCCAGCAGCACGAGGGGCCGCCCCGACAGGCTGGCGTTCTCCAGGTGCAGCACGGCCAGGCTGCTGCGGATCCGCAGGGCCCGGGCCACGAAGGGCGCCGAGTGGTCCAGCAGGGGCGTGTTGCGGGCATCCAGGTACTGCAGGCAGCTCGTCTGACGGGCAGGAGCAGCGCTGGTCAGGCTGGCCCGCCCTCACTGCCCGGGGGACCTCCCACCCCAAGTCCCAGTGAGCAGCAAGGCCGCCCGCTTTCCCAGCCGGGGCTGGTGCCGGCAGGCCTGGCCTGCGGTCCCGCGGGCGAGCGAGGCGGGGGTGGAGCTGACTCCCTGCGAGTAACATGGGGTGGCGACCACGGATGCCTCCACGGGCTCCATTGGGGTAAGGAGAGGAGAGAAGGGGCCACCACCCCTAAAGAGCTGGTGCCCTGACAAAGCACCTGGACCCTCCATGCCTGAGCCCCCCACCCGGAGACCTGGCGAGGGGGCAGGAAGCACCCACCTTGCGCATCATGTGGGCAGCGGCCTGCCAGCCCCGGGTGCCGATGTGCTTGTTGAAGGAGATGTTGAGGTGGGTGGCTGACTCGTAGTACTCGATCATGTCGAAGAGGGCGGAGGCGCCCTGGGGGGAGACGGGGGCTCAGCCTCAGGGGGAGCCTCGGAGTCCGGAGGCAGGCGCTGCTCCTGACACGGCCCTTCCATTTCCCCGAAGAGCCCTTACGTGCCCCCGGCTGCCGCAGTTCTCTGGCCCCGGCCCCTGGCTCTCCCATGTCCTCTACACCTGGGGCCCAGCTCCCGGCCCCTGGTGACCCCCAAGTCTCCAAGGGGAGGAGAGGATGCCTAGGCCTAGTCGGGGAAGCTGCTTCCAGACGTTTCTCAAACCTGCCCTGGCTGGTATGGCTCAGTAGGTTGGAGCACCATCCCGTGTACCGGAAGGTCATGGGTTTGATTCCTGGGCAGGACATATACCTGGGCAGGGCGTCATCCCATGCACTGGAAGGTCGTGGGTTCGATCCTGGGTCAAGGTGCATGTGAGAGGTAACCGATCAATGTATCTCTCTCACACTGATGTTCCTTTCTCTTTCCCCTCCCCCTTCCATAGAAATCAATTTCTTAAAAAAGTTTCTCAAACTCCTTCCGCTGCAGACACTATGACGGGGTGGGGGCGGCAGGACGCGCCTGGAAAGGCTCCAGGTGGCCACAGCCCCCCTCCGGCCTGGCTCCCCAAGGCTCCCTTTCCTTACAAAGGCCCTGCCTTTCGGGGGGTCTGGCCCTGCCCGGAGCCCCAACATTCGCTCTGCTCACACCGGATTTCCCTCGAGAGGCCCCGCCAGCCCTTGTCCAAGGGGCCCCTCCTCCTGCGGAGCCCAGCCCCCAACCTCTGGGAGCAGGGAGCTCGGAAGCAGGAAAGGGCGGTGGCAGATGCTCACATCTTCGTCCAGGTTGGTCTGCTCCAGGTCCAGGACCTTGAACTGCAGCCTCTTGAAGACCTCTTCCAGGGCCTCGCAGGCCTTGTAGTCCAGCTTTTCACCTGGGAGGGCATGGGCGCCGGGCGTGCATGCGTGAGCTCACTGCTGTGTGTGTGTGTGTGTGTGTGGGTGTGTGTGCAAACGGGGGCTCCAGGCCAAGGGAGGGAGGAAGGGCCCTCTGACCCCAAGCAGCCCAGGACCTCACCCTGCCCTCGGTCCACCTCTAGGGAAGGCTGGCCCTGCCACCCCTGAGGGCTCCCGCCTCCGCCCAGACACACACCTTTCAGGTCCAGACAGTCAATGCGGTGCCCGAGGTCCGTGAACTCCTGGGAAAGCAGAACGGACGGGGTTAAGCAGGAAGCACCTTACTTTTGTAGCTCGTCTGGCTCTGCTCTTTCTGAGGCGAGGCAGTGCTTGGGGTGGGTGTGGAGGGCACAGCGGCTCGGAGAAGGTGGCAGCTCCTTACCCGCCGCCCCCACCCGGACCTGGAGCGAGGCAGGTCGGATGCAGCCCCCCCTACGCCAGCTGAATGGAGGGAGGGAGTGGGCCCTGGGCGTCTCTGGGACAGGTTCTCAGGGAGAGGAACAGCCAGCGCGAAGGCTGTGGGGCAGGCCCGGAGGCAATCGCTGACAGGTCAGGCCCAAGAGGCCGGGGGAAGGCAGGCACCAGGCCTGGCTCGCAGGGAGCTCAGGAAGGGGATCAGGCACTGCACGGACGTCTTGCTGGCTCCTGGCTGGGCTCCAGCCCCACCCACAGGTGCCAGCCCTATTCCCTGGGCTCCACTCACATCAGCTCCGAGGGAGGAGCCGTGATGGACCCGGGGGCAGGCAGAGGCTGAGCCCAGCCTTGCCGAGGGGGTGAGGGCCGGTTTGGCCTGAACCAGGCTCCAGGGCCCACATTCCTGGCTGCCACACTGAGTGGCCATCTTCCCCTGGACCTGAGAGTAAGACCTTCTGGAATCCTCCACAGAACCCCTAACACGGGTGTGCAGGGACGGGGGCCAGCATGACTGCTCACAGCCGCGCTGTCTGAGGGAGCAACAACCCTAGACACAAACGTGGGAGCATTCCGGAGGGTGCCATGGCAGGGCCGGACCTCAGCCCGGCCGGCGGCCATGGGAGGCCCGGCAGGAGAGGCTGGGGGAGGGGCGCATGTCCCAGGCACAGCGACACCCTCGCCATAGGAGTCAGACTGTCCCCCCGCCCGGAGTGACCGCCGTCCTACAAACGCCCAGGAGAGGCCAGAGGACAAAGCCCAAGCTGTAGCAGCAGGGACTCCTGGGAATGGGACTTGGACAAGAAGAAGTGAATTTTGCTTTTTATGTTACTTTTGTAATTCAGGCTTTTAAGAATAAATATTGTATGTCTGGCTTTCTGCCTGGGGAACAGACCTTTTCTGCGGAGTGACAGATACTTGAAATTCTTACTTTACGTAATTCCCCACCGAGCAAGCACTCACGAGGAGCCTGAGTGCATTCACAGCTGACGGGGACTTCCCGAGGCCTCGGGGAGCGCAGCGGCCCGCTCTGAGCAGAGGGCCGTGCTGGGTGAGCGGGCAGTGCGGGTGCCCAGTGCGGCCTCTCCGCCGGGGCAGACAACAGAGCCCAGAGGCTGCTAGGAGGGGGGGCCCCTCCCCTGCCTGCATACCTGGAGCTGCCGCAGGAGCTTGGGGATCTGTCTGCAGTTCAGCTTCTGGCAGGCCTGCTTGTAAGCGCTGATGACCTCGTCCACGGTTACGTTCTGGGCTGCGAGCACAGAGGACCCCAGACTGTGACTCTCCATGTTCTGGGGTCTCTCACACCCCTTTCCCACTGGCCCCAGGCCTCTGCCGGCCCCCTTCCCCTCCCAACAGCCCACTGAGCTCTGTTGCCCCGCCGAGGGCCCCTGCTGTCCTAGAAAGGTGCCCCCAAACCAAGTCACCCCACCGTCCACACTTCCCCAGGGCTCCCTGAGCAATTCCACACAAACAGTACACATCTAATATCTCTCCATGTTCTACTTGTCAGCTGCCCCCCCACCTAACTTGGAGCCCCACAAGGACAGGTCTGGCCCAACTTGTCCAGCCCAGGGCCAGGCCTAGAGCAGGTGTGTGATGGTTTGTTTTCTGCATGACAATGGATCGGTCCTCCAGCCTGCAAAGAAGCCGAGCTCAGAGCGGAGGCACCTCGCCCAAGGTCACAGCTGGTGGGCGACAGGGCAGAGCTTCAAACTCAGCTCCTGCGGCGAGGCTGTGGCCTCTGAGAATCCCTGGTCCTGAAACACCTTCACCACTAAAACCTTCCCCCACAGCTCTCAAACCCTGCCCCTGCACAGCCCAGAGCCCACCACCACAGGGAAGGGAGAATGACCTTTCTGGCTTCTTTTACACGAATTTTGAGTTTGGGCCCCTTTATGGTATAACTAATGGCCTGTGCACAAATTCGTGCACACTGAAAGGAAATTAATTAGAAGTATTTTAATATCGCTATTCACGCGGAAGCCGGTTTGGCTCAGCGGTAGAGCGTCGGTCTGCGGACTGAAAGGTCCCACGTTCGATTCCGGTCAGGAGCATGAACATTGGTTGCGGGCACATCCCCGGTAGGGGGTGTGCAAGAGGCAGCTGGTCCATGTTTCTCTCTCATTGACGTTTCTAGCTCTCTTATCTCTCTCCCTTCCTCTCTGTAAGAAAAATCAATAAAATATATTAAAAAAATAAAGTTACATGAGTGAGAAAACCAATTGAAATTTGGAATTAAAAAAAAAAATTGCTATTCGCCCTTTCTCTATAATAGAAGCGTCAACTAAATTCACGATCAACAATGACAGATGGAAACATATGCGTGCATCCTAGATGGTTTGGCTCAGTGGATAGAGCTTCAGCCTGCAGACTAAAGGGTCCTGATTCGATTCCAGTCAAGGGCACATGCCCGGGTTGTGGGCTTGATCCCCAGTGGGGGGCATGCAGCGGGTAGTTGATCAATGATTCTCTCTCAACCTCGATGTTTCTAACTCTCAGTCTCCCTTTCTCTCTGAAATCAATAAAAATAAACCCTGGCTGGTGTTGCTTAGTTGATAGAGCATTGGCCTGCAGATTGGAGGGTCCCAGGTTCAATTCTAGTCAAGGACATGTACCTAGGTGCAGGCACATCTCCAGTAGGAGGTATGCAGGAGGCAGCTGATCAATGTTTCTCTCTCATCGATATTTCTAACTCTCTATCCCTTCCCCTTCCACTCTGTAAAAATAAATTTAAAATAAAAACATTAAACACACACACACACACACGTGCGAGTCAACTTAGCCTTTTATAGATATAGAACAAACTTGCTTAATTAGACCTGCTTTCTGACGTAGCTAAACCTTTTCCAGCCCAGTGAAGCACCCCAACTTCTCTTTCAGGTAATTGTCAGCAGCACAGCTATAAATATCAACATGAAGCAGATTATTATTGTAGATCACGCAGGGAGAACAAAGGGTAAAATATGTAACTGCAGCAGTGTTTGACTATATTCTGTACAGTGAGAAAGCCTGAAGTCATTTTCAAGATCCACCATTTCTTACTTATTTTCAGTGGGGTCAAGTTTCTAAGCTTTCTAAGTCTACATTTTCTGGCTAATGAAAATAAAATAGGATTCCACCGAGTCTCCTATCTACCTACTCCAGGACTTCTGTGAGGATCAAATGAGATGAGGCACGGAAAAAAGCTTCACAGACATTTGGTTACAGTGTGAAATGTTTCCACCTGACTTTAAAGCAAGTCGTGTTCCTGGACTGAAGAAACTCTAAGGAGGCTGGTTGCTAGGGAGAAGCTGGGCGTTGCTATGTGACGTCTTACCTGGACACTTAGCATATCAGCCTTTTATATTTAGAGATGTCCTGTGACTAGGTATAGAGGGCCGCCTGGGAAGGCACATGGACATTCTTTAAATTGTTGTCAGCTGAGCCCGAGGCAACTGGTCGAACCAGGGGTGTTATCAGTTCTGACTTCTTACCTTTGTCCAGGTGCTGGCAGGGGCGGGTCTAGGTATATAAATCCAGTAATGCTAGGGCCTACTTAAGAATGCAAATAAGCTCCTTTGATCCTAAGTTGTGGTGATACTTCCTGGTATTTGGGATATAAAATAAATGTGGCCGAAACTGGTTTGGCTCAGTGGATAGAGCGTTGGCCTGAGGACTGAAAGGTCCCGGGTTCGATTCCGGTCAAGGGCATGTACCTTGGTTGTGGACACATCCCCAGTAGGGGGTGGTGCAAGAGGCAGCTGATTGATGATTCTCTCTCATCGATGTTTCTAACTCTCTATCCCTCTCTCTTCCTCTCTAAAAAAATCAATAAAATATATTTTAAAAATAAAAATAAAAAAAATAAACGTGCTGTGTGGGCTTAGTTGGCACCGTTGCTGCCTCCCCATCAGAGAGGATGGCATCCCACCTGGCTCCTGGTTTTATAAATCTATTTCTGCGTCTTGCTCTCTCTCTTTAATTTCTTAATCAGCAACCAGATCCCTTCCTTTTCCATGCTGGACTCGGAAAAAAAACAAAAACAAAACACCTCCACAACTAGAGAGAGGAAGCTGGGCATTGCTATGTGATGCCTTACCCAGATGGACACTTAGCACATTAGCCTTTTACATATAGAGATAAAGTAACTGTCTGATGTCCTTTCACCAGGTAGTGAGACATCTGTGTTGTTTTCCATGTTAGGCTATTAATCTTGGATTTTGCCCCAGGTGACCAGAAAGACAGGAAGTTAAGGCTCTGAGCTGGGGAGGGAAAGGGTCAGGCTGGTGTATAAGGCTCTTGAGGTCGCCGGCTGGTGTGGCTCAGTTGGTTGAGTGTCGTCCCATGCACCAAGAGGTCACTGATTCGATTCCTGGTCAGGGCACATGGCTGAGTTGCAGGCTCAATCCCCCTTGGGGGGGAGGGGTGAGTGTGCATAGGAGGCAGCTGATTAATGTTTCTCTCTCTCTAAAATCAATAAAAACTTTTTTTTTTTTTAAAGGAAAGAGCTCCTGGGGCCAGCAGAATGGAGCGGGTGTGTGTGTGTGTGGCGGGGGGGGAGACAGGATGTGGGCCTCCGCAGCCCTTCCAGGTTCCCTCACCCCGGCCAGGCACTGGGCCAGCGGGAGCCCGGCAGGGGTTCCAGGAAAGCGGCCTCTCCTCCAGGCAGTGCGCTCGCTGATCACTACCGGGTTCCTAGGGCAGGAAGCCGAGGTCCAGGAGAGGAAAGCTCCTCCCCACCGGCGGGCAGCGGGCAGGACAGAGGGGAACAGAGGTTCCAGAACTCTCTATTGGGTGGGGGGCTGCAACTACTGTGCTGGAGTAGAAAGTCAGCAGATACCCAGCCTGTCCTCTGCCCCTCACTTCCGCCTCGGGGTGCCAGCTGTCCTCCCGCAGACCAGGGGAGGGCGCTCTCTGCCAGGTACTCGGCGCCCAGCTCTGGAAAACAGGAGCTGGCCCTACTGGAAGGCAGCCCTTGGGACTCGAGCAGCTGCATGGGACCCAGCCAAGCAGGGTCCATGACCCTCAGGGCGTCTATGACCTTGAGTGGGGAAAACGGTCTCTTTGCTTTCAATAACTGCACTAACGTGAAAGTTAGCATTTCCTTATTGCGATAGACCCTGTGACTGTCATCAATACACATGACCAATATTTCCACATATTACTGCAACTGTAGAATGTTCATCACTTGCTATTTCATGGGTCAATAAGGAAGAACATAAATACCAAATTGAAATTTTAAAAAACTTAGCTAACTGAATTTTAACTGGTATCCTCTGCAATACTTTTATTTTTTTTGCCTTTGAAAATCATCACTCTAAGAAGGGATCCCAAAGTAGGGGCCGGGCATTTGGAGGGCCATTACTAGCAGGTCTCAGCATCCCAGACAGTCTGCAGGGAACAAGCGCTGCCTAGTCAACCCCTCAAACTGCGACTGGTCCTGGAGGTGCTTTGCTCTGATATCCCTTCTTCCATGAAGTCCTCCCTGACTTCCCAGACTGAGCCAAGTTTCCCCTCTGCCGCCCAAAGTCCTCAAAGAGCCTCTTGGTGAGCTAAAGACCCAGTCTCCAACCTGGCTGCCTCCACACCACCCACGGCTGCCATCGACCATCTCTTCAGCCATCTACCGGGTTTGGATGGAGGCACAGCCTCCCAAAAAGTTACAGCCAGAACTCAGGAGACTAGCCCTGCCCCTCACTTCTTCAGAAGGAGGGCAGTGGTAGGAGGGGTAGACACTCAGAGAAGGGTCTTGGTGCCCCCTGCTGACAAGAATGAGAACTGCATCTTTTCGCTTTCCTTGGAGACCTGAGGCACATTTGGAGGTGGGGGCAGGGCTGGGAACAGACACTAAAGGGACAGAAGTGGGCTCAGTCAGTCTACTGCAGAATGGGATGGCAGCCCGGGTGCACCCCGCCCTGTCTCGACATCCCCAACAGCATCAGGAGCCCGTCCCAAGCTTGCCTGTCACCAGCGGGGGCATACGAGGGTTGGAATGTAGTAATCGTGATGTGTGTGTTCCATTCATGTATTAAGAAAAATGAACTACCATAGCAAAACCAGCATTCTACACGTTATCCTTTGGGAATGAGATAAAATATTTTAAAATAAACAATTTAAGAAGAAACGGTAAGAAAGCAGCAGTGCAGCTTTCAGAGAAGTAACACGCAGCATCTTGGCAGCACTCGCGCTGTGCCAGGCGGCCCCGCACACACTTGCTGCTCTGTGATGTGATGCAGTGGGCACCGGGAAACCCGGGGAAGGTCTGTATTG